ACGGCAATAATTTTTGCAGAGTCTACAACAATAGAAAGGAGCTCACCCAGGACGGGAAAAGTCAGAGGGGAGTGAATAGAAAAGAGGAGGAGGGAATATTCAAGACAGAATCATCATGCAAGAGCCAAGAGAAGCCTTAGGAGAGTAGCCAGGTCCCAAGTGGGGAGCAGAGGAACAGAACCAACAAGAGGGCTGATGTCAGATCTGGAAGGGTCTTGGAGGCCAAGCTGAGGAACTGAGATCCTGTCAGGCAGACCTCACGTGGGAGACGATGGCATCAGATCTGCTTAGGAGGCGGCCTTGGAGCAGTCAAGGGCAGACGACTACGTGTGGAAGGGAGGCTGCTGTGAGGGAGTGGCTGTGCCGGAGCAAATAGGAACAGGGCAGGCCCGCCTGGGGCCCAACGACCCGGAGATAAGCAGGTTCTGCTGGTGTTGAGACCCACAGTCTCTTGGAGATAAACACTGGGGCAATGGTCAGGGGCCCAGATAAGCCCTTGGCCTTTGGAACCCCTCTCTAGGGCACCAGCAGGCAGAGTGGGGTTTCCTCTGATGTTCTGGGCCCTTGGGCCGGCAGTCACAAGAAAGCAACAGGGTACATGTAGCTCAGTGGGGCCCAGGACACCGGCTGCCTGGGTTTCTTACATCTGTGAAAGTCAGTGTTCTCCTGTTAGGTAGGGACAGCAATGGCATCTACCTGGCAGGGCTGGTGTCAGGGTGAAGGTTGAATCCATGGAAAGCATTTAGAATGCTGCAGAACACAGTGGGCCCCGGGGAAACGTAAATGCTAGCAAGGAGTGAGTGCTTGGCCACTGTGGCACGTGAGATTAAAACTGCTCTGGATGGTGAGGAGGGGTCAGTGCTCCCTTTCCCCGCCCATTCCTTGGAGTAGGCCTTGATGAAGCTTTTCTACTAGTTTGAAAATCACTGGACTTTGCATTCCTGGGGTTAATTTCTACATGTATTTCCTAAACCCCAGGGTTCAAGTAGGGTTGGTTAGCTGCTGGTGCCAGGCCTAGAGCACAGTCTGGGGGTGGAGTCTCTCTTTCTCCTCAGAGAACACAGTGCAAGAGCCTGAGGGGGATCCGGCGAGTCACCCGCCACCTAAAGGCTTCAGTAGGACAGCCTGGTCTAGGTTTTTTTTTTTTTTTGAGACGGAGTCTTGCTCTGTTGCCCAGGCTGGAGTGCAGTGGCTGGATCTCAGCTCACTGCAAGCTCCGCCTCCCGGGTTTACGCCATTCTCCTGCCTCAGCCTCCTGAGCAGCTGGGACTACAGGCGCCCACCACCTCGCCCGGCTAGTTTTTTGTATGTTTTAGTAGAGACGGGGTTTCACCGGGTTAGCCAGGATGGTCTCGATCTCCTGACCTTGTGATCCGCCCGTCTCGGCCTCCCAAAGTGCTGGGATTACAGGCTTGAGCCACCGTGCCCGGCCCTGGTCTAGGTTCTTGCTCCCCAGCATCAGAAGCTGGGCTTGGTGCCCTGAGAGGGACAATTGTCTGCATCTCATTCCAGACATAGACATCCCTGCTGGCCCAGGAGTAAGGCCTTACACAGGGGTTCCCCTGAAGAAGAAAAACACCTCGCCAACAGAATAGGAAGCTGTCAGCCTTTCCCACTACACGAGGCCTGGAAGGAAATTCTCCTTCATGGTTCTGTTATAAATGAGTTAATCCAAGTTACGTTCTTAACACATGTTAAGCATGCAGTGCATCTTCACTTAGAGCTGTTATTTTTACTCCATAATCCCAATTTTTCTTATATCTATTAAAGTCGGCATGGTGTTTAGTGAGTTGAGTGGGTGTTCAGAGTCCAATAAATATATAGAATTGCAGTAAAAAAAAATTCTCTCCAAGAAAAATTCTCTTATATTCTTCATATTATGAATAGACAAAAGAGATTCACACAATATGACACACTGTATGTGAAGCAAAAGAGTCCTTTCTAGTTTGGCTGAAGGTCACTTTGCTGTCATGTTAAAGCCCAGAATTTCTAGCTAAGCCAGATCCTGCAGGAATTCTAGCAGCATTTACAGCATTGGCATCCATCTATCCTGAGTGGAATGCTGTGCAGTTGAGGATCTTTCCCGAGAATCCTAGGAAGTGAGATTTTATCACAGCATTGCTAATCCCAAATTAACAAGACGGTGGCAGTTCTAGAGGCAGCCTTTAGCTTCCATTAACAAAGGTTAGCTGTTGCACTAAGCAGACCAGAATACTCTGGGGAGTAACATAGTATCTTATTAAGTTATAAATACATTTAATGGCTTTCGTATTGGTTTCTTATTTTGGAATGAGGAAAAAAAATAGATCTCATAATCACCGTAGTCTAAGTAAAAAGCCACTTTAAAAAAAATGTGTATTTACCTACAATATTGTTTATGAATTATCTTTTTTTTATAGAGCCCACAAAGTCCCTCAAAGGACAGTGGTAACTCTTCCAACTACTTGCAAGGCTAAGTTTTGGTTTATTTGGAAGAAATTAAAACTAGTACAAGATTTTAAAATCAATTTTTTTTTTTTTTTTTTGAGACAGAGTATCTGTCGCCCAGGCTGGAGTGCAGTGGTGCAATCTCAGCTCACTGCAACCTCTACCTCCTGGGAGAAGCGATTCTCTTGCCCCAGCCTCCTGAGTAGCTGGGATTACAGGCATGCGCCATCACAACCGGCTAATTTTGTATTTTTAGTAGAGATGGGGTTTCACCACGTTGGCCAGGCTGGTCTCGAACTCCTGACCTCAGGTGATCTGCCCACCTCAGCCTCCCAAAGTGCTGGGACTACAAGTGTGAGCCACTGCACCCAGCAAATTGTTTGGGTTTGATTCAAACAAGTCAAACCAGTTCAGAAAAAGTCCCCAAGACTCCTCTCCCCACCACTACTTCACTTTGTTTCCCTGTTAAAGGAAAAAAATGTTATTTGCACCCAACGTCACACACTGAACTTTAAATGTAGAGCATTTTCTTAAAAAGAACTTAAGAGTTGGAACCAAGGGTACAGAGTTCTTATCCTTCACTTACCTGCACTGAGAAAGTACATTTTTTTTTTTTTTTTTTTTTTGAGACGGAGTCTCGCTCTGTCGCCCGGGCTGGAGTGCAGTGGCCGGATCTCAGCTCACTGCAAGCTCCGCCTCCCGGGTTCCCGCCATTCTCCTGCCTCAGCCTCCCGAGTAGCTGGGACTACAGGCGCCCGCCACCTCGCCCGGCTAGTTTTTTTTGTATTTTTAGTAGAGACGGGGTTTCACCGTATTAGCCAGGATGGTCTCGATCTCCTGACCTCGTGATCCGCCCGTCTCGGCCTCCCAAAGTGCTGGGATTACAGGCTTGAGCCACCGCGCCCGGCCGAGAAAGTACGTATTTTATATCATTTACGGAATAACAGACTGTTACAGCAAGTTCAAGCTTAACTCATTTCGAATGACCTGCTAACTGGTCCACTGACTGGGCAAATTCTAGAGCCCTGAACCCTCCAAGATGCCCAGGGATGGGGACTGTCTCAAGGAACGCTTCGGTGGTTTGGTGGGAAGTGGCAGTCCCTGCGCTGACTGTGACGGAATCAAAATAACCGCACAGGTGTGAAATGCTCCATGTGGGTGACACCCCTCACATCCCACCCACTTCTGTTCCCAAGCACAAAGGAACCACTCCATCTTCTTTCTCCTCACAAGAACCGCAGCGCTGCTCTCCTTCAACCCCACCGGCCTCCACCCCGGGGAGAGGCACGTGCCGTGGGGACACCTGCTTCCCAGGTGTGCACGGCTGGTACCCAGCGCCTCGGCGGGGTCCTCTGCAGGGCTGAAAGTGGGGGTCACAGAGATCACCATGCTGCAGGGACTGAGCTACTTGTCCTTGGTCAGGATGGACAAGCCCTGCCTCAAATAAAGGCTGGAAGTGTTTTTTTCTGGATGACTTCTTCCCCATACAGAGAATGGTTAATCTAGCTGAGGCAATCTGGAGTTGGCTTCCAAATCAGCAATGGGGAGGGGGAAGAACCTCACAACAAACAGTGGTAACAGAAGGTTTGTGTGGGAAGGTGGTTGAGTTTGGTCTAAAACAAGCAGTGTCTCTGGTAATGAACTGTTGTTAGGAAATACCCGGCGCTTGCAGCCTTTGAAAGAGCACCACTGCTGCTTCTAGAGGGCAGGGTTGTCGGGGTAGGAGAGGGCAAAGTGAAGGGAAGCGAAGACCCAACGAACACTAAAGTGCGTGGAGGTGACAGAGCAGTGGAGATACCCACCGCCAAGCGTGCCAGCCGCGGATCACACAGAGAAGCCCAGCTCCGCTCTGGGCGCTAGACCACCTTTGGTATCTTACCTACCTTTTCTGAATCAGTTGGCTCACTGGTAAAATGAGGACACCTAAGCTATCAGCCAGGGTCCTGGCAGGAGACAGATGGTACACTCAGATGGAGTGACCAAGGAGAGTTTCACAAAAGGACTATTTACAAAGGGTGTGGGCAGGGTTAAGAGACTCCATTGAGGACAGTGACGTACCCGAGGCCTGGCAAAAGCAGGGAGTGAGGACTGAGACTGGCTTGAGGGGACGAGGAGAGGGTGTGGCTACTAAACCCCACAAGCTGCCTGACAGGACTTGTGGGCCTTGGCAGAGGAGCCCAGCCACCGCCAACCCACAGCTGGCGGGAGGGAGTCGGGAATTAATTCCCTGACTTCCCTGTCCTCTCATCTGCCAGGCTCCATCCAGAGTGTCTCTGGATCCTGACCAGAAGCCAGGACAGGTCCCCAGTGGCCAACCTCCTGGAGAGAAGCGCACAGCAGGAAGGGGACCCAGAGGGACCCACAGAGAGCCTCTAGCACACCCCAAGTACCCGATGGGGCCAGTGGGGGTCTAAAATACTACTATAAATGCCTGCCTGGCAGTCACTCACTGCCCATTGGATCAGATTATTTGGCGTTTACTTACCAAAAGGCCACCATATAACTGTATTCTCAGGTGGCAAAACCCAGAGTCAAATAAGATGTGGTCATCTACTCATAGTGAAAAACAAAACTTTTACAAAGTTGACAGATAACATTTATTAAAACATGTCATACAAAAGGGCATGATCTCTTCTATAAGAAGAAAATATTAAACATTAACATTCAATTAAGTAAAACCATGCTGTACACTGAAGACAGCAATATATAAAGACAAAACTATTCAACTTTTGCAACATAGGCATAACATTTCACAAAATATCAATAAGATATGCACCTAATGATAATCTGTTTATCATCAAATGGTTTTGTGGCCTAAGAGTCACCTGACTTGCATAAATAAAGTACTTTTCTGGACGAAACATTGGGAACCTCATAAAAGGAAAGAAGGCAGCAGCAACTAACATGACACAGGCTTCAAGCAAAAATTAAAAAAAAAAAAAAAAGTCACATTTGCAAAATGTGTTCCAGCATCTTCCCATAGGGTACTATCAGTAGAGATTTGAAATAAGAAACTTGTACCTTTAAATATGTAAGTAGCAAAGAAAAAACTCCAGACAAACCCTGGTTTCACTGAACAAAGTTAGTCACCCACTAAAGCAACCTAAATCACAAAATTGGCGGCACGGGAGGGATTGGGGATAACGTGATGCTGGTTTCCAGCATCCCCAAGTTATCAGAGAACTTCCAAAAGCAAAAACCTGGCCTCGCTGTGATGGCACCCTCTCCACGCCCACCCAGGAGGCCGCAGCACATCCTCTTCCCCAGGGAAAGCACGGCTTTGCAGCTTCTGCTCTGTCTCAACTTCACTTCCACAGCAGCTCGGGGGTGTGTGAGCCTCTCAAGGAGGGAGCCCCAGAGGCTAAGCAGCTTTCCCCAGTGGTTAGAAGCCAGCCTTAGGGTCAGGTTAGTTCAGCAAATGCCCACTAGAATGGAGGGGATCCTTTTGGGCAAGCTTTTAAAGTCGTGGCCAAAAGGGACCAGAGGAAGAGGAGACCTAGAAATCAGAATCAACAGGCTGGGGCCCTGGAGCGCCTGCAGGCAAGTTACACAGCCCTGCAGGGTAAGTTACCGCAGTCCTTCCTTAGTTAACGGTGACAGGCACTTCACCATGTGGATTACTATCATGTGTGTATCTAAAGGTAAAAGCATGGTATAAGTATGGTTTTTTTTTGTTTTTGTTGTTTTGAGATGGAGTCTCACTCTGTTGCCAGGCTGGAGTGCGGTGGTGCAATCTTGGCTCACTGAAACCTCCGCCTCCCGAGTTCAAGTGATTCTCCTGCCTCAGCCTCCCGAGTAGCTGGGATTACAGGTGCGTGCCACCACGCCCGGCTAATTTTTGTGTTTTTAGTAGAGATGGGCTTTCACCATGTTGGTCAGGCTGGTAATGAACCCCTGACCTCAGGTGATCCACCCACCTCGGCCTCCCAAAGTGCTGGGATTATAGGTGTGAGCCACCGCGCCTGGCCCCAAGTATGAATATTAAATACCACTGGTGGTGCCTTGAAGCCCTTTCCCACGGGGATTGAAGAAAAACCACAGTTAAGACTCAAAGTAGGGGACAAATAGCTTGGTTGTAGGCCACTGACGTGATCCCTGAAAGATTATTTGAACAATGTTACCCACAACTACCCAAACTCATTAGGAAGGATAAAGATTTTCTAAAGCTATACTGAGGTGAAGAGAAGAGACTATTCCTCCAACCCAAGGTAAAAACCAGAGTTTACAAAAATTCACTTTTAATATTCAAATGAAAGCAATCCTCTTCTCCTGCCTCTCTGAACATGGCCAGCATTTCAGACACCCTACCACCTCACAGGCTCTGGCTGCCTGATAAAAAAATCCCAATTTTTACCAAAACCTCAAATACCACAACAAACTTAAAAGAACAGATGTGAGCAACTTATTTAAGTTCTACGTTTAGTAGCTGATGGACGCATAAGGCTTTCAAGAAGACACTCTTCTCTTCACAACATATTAAAAAGTCCTAGCACAACCGACTGCTTCCAAAACTACCACCCAAGCGTGCCACCACTCTCGGCTGAACAGAACTCTTCCTCATGACGAGGGCACTACGCTGACTTCAGCAGAACTGAAGGACCACAACTCTCCCGGAAGAGCTGTATTTTCACTTCTCAGACTCTTCTCCCACAGTGTCCTAATGATCATGTGAGTAGTACAATGAGAAACAGCACACCAAACCTTCCAAACAGGCAGGAAACGCTCTGCTAACACCATGGGAGAGGGTGATCAGTTTTTGGCAGAACAGAATGGCATCACCACTTTAGTACTGAAACTGGTAATAATAGAACAATTTCTCCTCAAATATAATGGCTAGGATCATACCTAAACCCCACTGGCCTCTACCATGAGAAAAAGGAGACATTAGGCTTGATTGTACAGTCCCCTCTGTATACATGTGTCAGGTACACAGAGAAAAGACTGCTAACCAGTAACGTTTCAATACTAAGAGAAGCTATTAATGTGGTAAACAACCAAGAGGTAATATCTAGTTTCTAGGTTTAAAAAAAAAAACTATATATATATATATTTATAATAAAGTTTTAAATACAAAGTGCTTTTTATATATCGAGAATGATACAGTGTTGTGAATAAATCCCTGTTTGTAATCTTGCTTACAAGAGTTAACTGGTAAATAAGTATTTTCCTTCCTCTTTCCAGACAATGTTTAATGAGTAAACACCTTGGTGTTAGGAGCTTGAGAATCAGAGGCCATTGCCAGCAATGTCTATTACATTACAGCAAAGCCAAACTTTTCAAATAAAATGTCACCCCAAATCCAAGAAAAATTATTTTTATTTTAAGGAAAAACGTTTTTATTTAGAAGTAAATAACCGAGTACGTTTATGGAAAAGATGACATAGTAGTAGCACCCTGTCCTACCCTGGTGATAACCTCAGGTACATTACACAGCTTAAAAGCATGTGTAATATACCTTTCTTTTTAACCTAAACCATCTAGCTGATGGGCAGAAAAGGTCTCAGAATAGCTGCTGGTTTTTTTGTCGTGTTTTTTTTTTTCTGGTCGGCATAGCTTTGTGGACTTGTAAGTTTAAGCAGCTTTATCTATAATTTGGGAGCATGATTCTGTAGACTACTTTGCTAAACTTAGGACTCCTTTTAAAAGCACATTCTGGCGCTCATAAAGAACTGGCAGTATTAGCTCAGTGTACCCCCTAAAGAGTATCTCCCCCACCTTGAAAGAGTGTATTTTCAAGATTCTCCTTGGGCACGTTTTTTCCCCTTAAGTATAATCACTCATAGAATCCGGCCTATCTGCCCTCTCACTCTGGTTGGTGGAGTGTCACCTTAGCACTCCATGAACTGCCGAAGTTCACAGGGAACTCTCAGCCACAACTTGGGGCTCCTTCCCACTAAGTGTGGTCATGGACCACCCTCTTTGTAAAGCACCATAATCTAAGACAGAGCAGGGGCTGCAGCGGCCCGTGGTACCGTGGTCAGTCACAGCAGCTTGGTGTCTACCAGCCACAGAGCAGACCCCACTGCATGGAGGCTACAATTAACCAAACAGGATTTGGGAAAGCAAACCAATGAGAAATACCTATCTCTGGCACCCTAGAGAATTACAATTAGATACAAATGTCCAAACTCAACTGTTAGAACTAAAATACAAAACACTGCCTTATCAAGAGTCTGAAACACCTTGTGACAGTAGTGGCATCTTACAGAAACTGACAAGGGCACTATGTCAGCCTTGTACCGTAAGTTATCTGTTTCATATTTAGAACGTCATTCTCTTAGCATCTCCATAGTTTTAGTGAAAATATCCTTTAGAAAGAATAAAACCAGACAACAGAGCTCTGTTAACCAATTTCTCATCCTAGGAATCACATTAGTTGTAGCTTTTACATAAGTAGCACTTCCTTCAGGGAAATAGCTATCAAAACAAATCCACATTACCTAAGTATCTATAGCAAGAGCAAAATAAAATTTCAGCATGACCTTGTAGTAATGAGTGATCCAAAGCTGCTGCCACCCGAAACGGAACTGGTGGGTGGAGTCCAGTTCCAAGTGCAGGTGTATCTGTCCACCTGTTTCAATCACAACCGGTCAGAAGGTTTCCCTTGCCAGCTGGGCGGTGGGTTAACTCACCCCATTACCCATTCCAGGCCAGGACTGGAACACACAAATTTGAGGAATTAGATTTTTTTAATTGGCCTACTTAGAGCTGGTCTTTCAGAAATATCTTCCTTTTTTTTTTTTAAGCTTCTCTCATAATAGCAAGTAGCACGCATCATCTGTGCCCAGATTTGCATTAATTACCATAGTTTATTTTTGTGCATGCCACTCAAGGGCCAGATCCTATTTTTAGTTAGCCTCAGTTGTATTCTGCTCAGCCTTTGCAGCTTCGTAGGACTTGGTACAAGAAGTCACATGCCGGTGGAAACTGTCCCTCCACATAAACCTCTTTGCACAGATATTACACTCATACGGCTTTATGCCCGTGTGAATTTTCATGTGGCCCACGAGGTGGTGCTTCATTTTGAATTTCTTACCGCAGACGCCACAGCCGTAAGGCCGCAGACCGAGGTGCATGCTCATGTGCCGATCTCTCTGACTCTTGTGAGTGAAACTCTTCCCACACTGACAAGGATACAGCTTGTCGGTGGCTGAGAATCCTAAGTGGGAAGCTTCTTCTTTAATCCCTGTTACCATTTCAATATTCTCACTGTAGCCTGCTGCGAGGGCAGCCTCCTGTCTGTGCCCAATGAGGTTCCCGTCCGACCTCTCTCCGGAAAACTCTTCCATGGAAGAGCCATAGAAATCCACCTGCTCATCATAATTGCTTTCATCAGCCTGTTCATCAAACTCGGCTTCCACTTTCTTCTCCCCGATGTGGAAGTCCTCCTCCACTCCCGAAGGCTGGACGGTGTGCTCGGTCTGCACGGTGTTGATGGACTCTGTGACCTGATGCTCGTCGTAGGCCGCGTGCACGTCCATGCCCTCGCAAGCCTGTTCTAAGCGCTCGGGCTTCACGTGGATCCAGCGTTTGTGAGCCATGATGCTGGGCTTGCTGTACATGGGCCGGGTGTAGTGGAACTCGGCGCTGTCGCTGGCGCCCTCCTCCCCATCCTGGCTCGCCATTTCCGTGCTCAGGCGGTCATGCTCTGTGGACGAGTTGCTGGGCAGGTATTCGTGCTCGGTGAGCTGGGATGACAGCTCGTCTTTGGTGCTCTCCTCTTCATTTTCACCATCCCTCAGTTCTTGGGCTTTGGGAAAATCAGTATGACCCCCCGAGCCCAGCTCAAAGCTCTCTACCAGGCCATTGTAACTACTGCTGCTTGGTGACTGGTGGTCACTGCCATGATTTAGCTTCTGACAAAGGACTGTAGGGTTTCCCTCTAAAACTTCAGTGCATTTGTCTACCACATGCCACATCTGGAGGAAGCTTGCCGCTGTCAAGTAACTAACAATTTCTGGAGCGGGCATTACTAGACGTCCTGTATAGCTGGACAGGAGAATGTTCTCAAACACTCTTGGGTTCATCACATCAGGCAAAACAATTCTCCTGCTGTTTTTCAGGAGTACCTGGTCACAAAAGTAGGGTGAACTGGCAGCGAGAACGGCTTTGTGTGCCCGGAAAATGTGGCCTTGGACAACAATGGAGACGTCACATAATTGTCCTTGCTGGCGCTGCTGGTTCAGTTTCTGTAGGATGGTGCTGGAAAAATCAGGAAATTCTACCCGAAAAGAGTTTGCTCCAGGCTCCATTTCATCACAAATCTTGTTCGGTGCTACAAGAAAAAGAAAAATTAGTACTAATTCCAGCCCAAAGATAAATGTATTTTATCCCCTTCTCCATCCTTAAGACAAGTTCCAAAGTTCCACAAGGTCCTCTAGCCTATGGGCCCCCCGGGATTCAATCCCTAGGGTAAAGCTTGCAGGTGCAAGTTTGCCAAAGGCAGGACTCACCACCGCTCCTTGTGGAACTCCTGATTTTGGCTCTGTGTCTGTGGGTAAGAGGACGGAATCCAGTGACAGGATTTGTAAGCTATACAAATCTCCCAAGTAAAACCAAGTACTGTAAATATTTACAGTTAAAACAAACGATACCCATTCAAATTATATATATATATATATTTTTTAATGAAATGGGGTCTTGCTTTGTTGCCCAGGCCGGAGTGCAGTGGCACAATCATAGCTCACTGCAGCCTTGAACTCTTGGGTAATCAAGCAATCTCCTGCCTCAGCCTCCTGAGCAGCTGGGACTATACGTACATGCCACCATGCCCAGCTAGTTTTTTTTTTTTTTTGAGACGGAGTTTCGCTCTTGTTGCCCAGGCTGGAGTGCAATGGCGTGATCTCGGCTCATTGCCACCTCCACCTTCCGTTTTTGAGCAATTCTCCTGTCTCAGCCTCCCAAGTAGCTGGGATTACAGGCGCCCACCACTACACCTGGTTAAATTTTTTTTTTTTTGCATTTTTAGTAGAGATGGGGTCTCACTATGTTGGCCAGGCTGGTCTCAAACTCCTGACCTCATGATCCGCCCACCTTGGCCTCCCAAAGTGCTGGGATTACAGGTGTGAGCCACCGTGCCTGGCTGCCCAGCTAGTTTTTTAAAAAAATTAATTAATTTTTTTTTTTTTTTGTAGAGACAGGTGTCTCACTTTGTTGCCCAGGTTCGTCTTGAACTTCTGGCTTCAAGTGATCCACCTGCCTCAGCCTCCTAAAGTGTTGGGATTACAGGCATGAGCCACTGCTCCTGGCAGAATTTTTTTTAAAGAGATGAGGTCTCACTCTTTTACCCAGGCTGGAGTGTAGTGGCACCATCATAGCTACTGCAGTCTCGAACTCCTGGGCTCAAGTGATCCTTTCACCTCCGCCTCCTGTGTAGCTGGGACTATGGGTATACACCACTGTGCCCATCTCAAAATGACAGAACTTTTAAGCCTCAGATTTAACTGCTATTTGACAGGTTGTGGTGAGGGTGGGAGAACAGAATAGAGGGAACAAGGAAAAGCATATGCAAAGGCTCTGAGGCAGGAATGCATTTGGCAATTGCAAGGAACTGAAAGGAGACCATTAGACTAGAGTACATTAAGGGAGTGAGGGGCCCGGAGGCTGGAGCAGTGAGGACAGGACAATTGCACCTTTGGTCTTTCACCACTAAAGGGGCACAGTCACTCAGGCCCTGAGCTTTCTCCAGCTGCTGCCAGCATTTTAGCTAAGGGCTTCTGAGGATATGAAACTGAATGAAACTGCAAGGTGAGCTATTTTCTTATCTGGTGATCTCCAAACTGTCTAAAGAGTTATAGACCAAACACGATAGTTAAGTAGTCCCTGCTACCGAACAGAGTCCATCAGAAGACAAAGTTATAACAAAGAATAAGGCATTGCCTGTGTTGCTACGGTAAATATATTCTGTGGGGTAAGTCAAACATTAGAAATAATTCCTAACAATGGCACACAAGATGAGCTGTGCTAGAGATCCTGCCCATACTCCGTAATTCCCCAAAATTCTGTAATTAAAGCAAAAAAACCACCCAAACGATTTATCACTGCTATATGTCACCTTGCTCTGATATTATATCCAAAGATTGCTAAATTATCAAGTTTTCTTTTTTTTTTTTTGAGACAGGGTCTCACTCTTGTCACCCACACTGGAGTACAGTGGCGTGATCACAGCTCACTGCAGTCTCAAACTCCTGGGCTCAGGTGATCCTCCCATCTCAGCCTCCTGAGTAGCTGGGACTTCAGGCGTGCACCACCATACCCGGCAAATTTTTGTATTTTTTGCAGACACGGGGTTTCGCCACGTTGCCCAGGCTGGTCTCAAATTCCTGAACTCAAGCGATCTGCCCACTTGGCCTTCCAAAGTGCCGGAATGACAGGCGTGAGCCACAGTGCCCAGCCCCAAGTTTTCTAAGTATAAACAGAGCCAGACAACCCAGACAAAGACTGAAAGCCATCTTCGAGGGATAGGGAGAGATGACGAGAAGAAATGAAGGTTTCTTGAGTAATTATGATTTGCTAGGGACTGTATACCTTTTTTCACTTAATCTTTATAATTTACTCTGCAAATGTAGGGCTTGATTGTGTGAAGTTCAGCTATTTTAAGAAATTTTCCCAAGGTTAAAAGCTAGTTTTTATTACGTTGAGCTGTGAATCCAGGTCTGGATGACTCTGAAGTCTCTGTGATTTTTCCTATCACATCACTCTGCCTCCTCTAAGATGCCAAAAATGCCAGATTAGGCACTAATAATTTTAAAAGACAGCATTTTTAGAGTGAAGTATTACAGTTTTATACATCTTAAAACATTTCATAGTAATTTAAAACAAAAATAGATCGTGAAATAAATGATTTAGGTATTCGTAATTTCAAAAAGAAAAGTTGACTATATAAATGAGTAGACTAAAAGTATGTAAATTCTGGAAACTACATCTGGGTGAACAGATTCTCTGCTAGATCTCACCACTGTAGAATTTTGTTTTTAGCTATTTGAAAAAGGGGGTGTGGGATAACACATGCACATGTAAAAAAAATTTATAGAAAGGTGTAAAAAAAATCTCTCCATCATTTATTCCTAGTCTCCCCCAAAGGAAATCACCATTAAACTCCTGTTTATATTTCTAGAAACTTCTCTGTGCATATATCAGAATAAATCATATACATCCTTTAAAAATCCCTACTCAACTGGGTTCATTACCTACATTTTATTCTACACTTAGCTTTTGTCACTTAATATATCTTGGAGATCTTCCCACATTAGTACAAGAAGAGCTAACTCATTCTGTTTAATGGCCACATAGCTTTCTATTATATGGATGTATCGTAATTTAAGCAGTTCTCCTCTTACAGAATTTCAGTTGGCAGGGGTTTTAAAATCACAAGCAATGCTATAATAGGTATTTCTGCATAACTATCTTGCATACCTTTGGAAATATCCATAGCTTAATTTCTACCAGTGGAACTGCTGGTTTAAAAGGCTGTGCATTTGACATAGCCTTGAACTCTTGGGTCATCAAGCAATCCTTCTGCCTCAGCCTCTCCAGTAGCTGGGACTATAGGCATGCTACCACGCCTGGCTAATGTTTTTAAAAAATTTTCTGATACATATTACCAAACTACTTGCCAGAAAGGCTGCACCAAGTCACACCCTCACCAATAATCAACACTCTTACCAAGACTGGATATCATTTAACAAGAAAAATAAAGCCTGCCTATCTTCTAAGTGACATGATTCATTCCTGCATTTCCTTAATTACGAATGAGGCTGGCACTCTGTACTTAGTTTACTGGTCATTTGTGGTTTTCTCTTATAAAATCAGTCACATCCTTGATGCAAATAAATTGGGCAATTAATCTTATTGATCTGTAGGGCTTTTTGTAAATTCAGGAAGTTAACTTTATCCTATGTTGTGATTTTTTTTCAGTTAGCTGATTTTACAGATTTTTTTGCCAAGATGAAATTTACATAAAATAACTACTCTTTGCTTTTACTCTTTGCTCCAGGGTTTGTGTCAGACATAGGAGGGCATTTACACCTCCAAATTTATTATTATTATTATTATTATTATTTTGAGATGGAGTCTTGCTCTGTCGCCCGGGCTGGAGTGCAGTGGCCGAATCTCAGCTCACTGCAAGCTCCGCCTCCCGGGTTTACACCATTCTCCTGCCACTGTGCCCGGCCCAAATTTATTATTTATTATTATTTTTTAGAGATGGGGTCTCACTGTGTTGCCCAGGCTGGTCTGAAACTCCTGGGCTCAAGCAATCCTCCTGCCTCAGCCTCCCAAAGTGCTGGGATTACAGGTGTAAGCCATTGCATCTGGCCCAAAATTATTTTTGAAAATAAAAATGAAGGCTGGGTGCGGTGGCTCACACCTGTAACCCTAGCAGTTTGGGAGGCTGAGGCAGGCGGATCACGAGGTCAGGAGATTGAGACCATCCTGGCTAATACGGTGAAGTCCCGTCTCTACTAAAACTACAAAAAAATAGCCGGGCGTGGTGGCAGGCACCTGTAGTCCCAGCTACTCGGGAGGCTGAGGCAGGAGAATGGCGTGAACTTGGGAGGCAGAGCTTGCAGTGAGCCGAGATGGTGCCACTGCACTCCAGCCTGGGCGACTGAGCGAGACTCCGTCTCAAAAAATAAATAAATAAATAAATAAACAAATAATAAAACCTTTAATACATGGGAGTTTATTTTGGCATGAAGAATAAGGTTGGGACCCAGCCCCTTTTTCTCCAAAATGGCTAGCCTATTTTTCTAACACTATTTGTCAAATAACCTATGCTTTCTTCATAAAGTGCAGGTATCTGTTGTGGAATTTTTGTTTGTTTGTTTGTTTTGAGATGGAGTTTCACTCTTGTTGCCTAGGCTGGAGTGCAATGGTGCGATCTCAGCTCACCACAACCTCCGCCTCCCAGGTTCAAGCGATTCTTCTGCCTCAGCCTCCCAAGTAGCTGGGATTACAGGCATGTGCCACCATGCCCGACTGATTTTGTATTTTTTTGTTTAGTAGAGACAGGGTTTCACCATGTTGGTTAGGCTGATCTCCAACTCCCGACCTCAGGTGATCCACCCGCCTTAGCCTCCCAAAGTGCTGGGATTACAGGCGTGAGCCAGCTCTCCTGGCCTCTGTTGTGGAATTCTAAATGACTGAGAATAAGACATTTAAAATCCGTTCTAAAAAAATAAATGCCACAAGGGAGGTTATGGAAAATGGTGGAGTCAGAAGCTCCATGGGTCGGTTCCTCCACCAATACAATCAGGAAGCTGAAAAAATGATCAAAATCACGATTTCAGGACTCTGGAAGCAGATCAGACACTCACAGCAATCAAGAGAGTGCTGGATGAAGGCAGGCTGCTGAAGCTCAGGAGAGACCAGTGTGCATAAATCCCCATTCCGCAGCCCTGCCACACGCAGCCTGCAGGAAGGTGGCCTGTGTTCCCACAGCAGCTGGCTCATACAAGGAGTGGGGGGTGGAGGAAGGACCTTGTCCTCCAAAAATGTGCGGTTGTGCATTTTGTCCAGTCTGGCAAACTTGCTCAGCTTTGTTTTGGCCCCCTCAGGCTGCAGTGGTTTCCCTGGTGGCACCTATCACAAGATTTAAGACACCTACACCTACATCTGTACACTCACATACACAGATCCAGACAGTTAAGAAAATCTTCCAGGTCACAGGCTGGCTGCATGGATAAGAGAAAAAAAAACTCAAGCAACTACATACAACAAGGAATAGAGACTTCACAAAATAGGGAAAGTCATTGTACAAACAGAAACTGTAACCTCACCAAGTCACAAAAGCAATCCCTGAGGCGGCGTAGAATCTGATTTCCAGAGTTACCATAATATTATACTCCAAAATGTCCAATTCTCAACAAGAAAGTAAAAACATACACACAAAAAGGAATATACAGTGCACTCACAGGAAAAAGAATCAGAAACACTGTCACTGAGGAAACACCAACACTAGAATCACACGTCGCAGAGGTTAAATCCACTGTTCTAAATATGCTCAAAGAACAAAAGAAAATGATGAATAAGGAAAATCAGGATAACAATGTCAATAAGGAGACAGAAACCATAAAAAGGGGCCAGGAGGCCAGGCACGGTGGCTCACGCCTATAATCCCAGAACTCTGGGAGGCCGAGGCGGGCAGATCACGAGGTCAGGAGATGGAGACCATCCTGGCTAACACGGTGAAACCCCGTCTCTACTAAAAAAATATAAAAAATTAGCCGGGCATGGTGGTGGGAAACTGTAGTCCCAGCTACTCGGGAGGCTAAGGCAGGAGAATGGCTTGAACCCTGGAGGTGGAACTTGCAGTGAGCTGAGAACATGCCACTGCACTCCAGCCTAGGCGACAAAGCGTGACACCATCTCAAAAAAAAAAGCGGGGGGCGCCAGGAGTAGTGGTGGCTCACGCCTGTAATCCCAGCACTTTGGAAGGTCAAGGTGGGCAGATCACTTGGGGTCAGAAGTTCGAGACCAGCCTGGCCAACATGGTGAAACTCCATCTCTACTAAAAATGTAAAAATTGGCCGGGCGTGGGCCGGATGTGGTGGCTCACGCCTGCAATCCCAGCACTTTGGGAGGCCGAGATGGGCAGATCACCTGAGGTCAGGAGTTCCAGACTAGCCTTCAACAAATACAAAAATAAGCTGGGCGTGGTGGCGGGTGCCTGTAATCCCAGCTATTCAGGAGGCTGAGGCAAGAGAACTGCTTGAACCCGGGAGGTGGAGGTTGCAATAAGCCAAGATTGTTCCATTGCACTCCAGCCTGGGTGACAAGAGCAAACCTTCGTCTCAAAAAAAAAAAAAAAAAAAAACAAAAAACCATGACTGGGCATTGTGGTATAAGCCTGTAGTCCCAGCTACTCAGGAGGCTGAGGCATGAGTATCGCTTGAACCTGGGAGGTGGAGGTTACAGTGAGCCAAGATCACGCCACTGCACTTCAGCCTGAGCGACAGAGTGATGCTCTGTCTCAAAAAAAAAGAAAAAAAGAAAAGAAATTATAAAAAGGAACCAAATGGAAAAAGCTGGAGCTGAAAGGTACAACAATGCATTATGGGCTGGACTGCATTTCCCCGCTGCCCGTCAGTTCACACACTGAAGCTGTAATGCCCTGCACCTCAGAATCTGGCTATATTTACAAGTAGAGCCTTTAGGAGGTGATTAACCTAAATGAGGCCATTTAGATGCACCCTAACACAGTATGATGGGTGTCCCAATAAGGTGAGATTTGGACACACAGAGACACTAGGGATGCACAAAGAAAAGACTCTGCATGGGCCCAGTGAGAAGGAGTCATCCGCAAGCTGAGGAAGAAGGCCAGAGAATAACCCAAACCTGCTAACATCTTGATTGCAGACTGCCCACTTCCAGAACTGTGAGAAAATACATTTCCATTGCTTAAGCCACCCAGCCTGTAGTATTTTGTTACAGTAGTCGTGGCAAACTAATACAAGCTGAAATTACATGTTCATAAGAGGGGGTTCAATGGCATGCTTGAGCAGGCAGAAGGAAAAAAAAATTAACAAACTCAAAGATAAGGTAAATAAAATTCAGTTGAAGAGTAGAAAGAAAGAAGAATGAAGCAAAATGAGCTGGGCACAGTCACTCATGCCTGTAATCCCAGCACTCTGGGAGGCTGAGGTGGGAGGATCGCTTGAGTCCAGGAGTTCGAGACCAGCCTGGGCAACATAGTGAGAACCTGTCTCGACCAAAAATACAACAGCCAGGCATGGTGGCATGCATCTGTAGTCCCAGCTACACAAGAGGCTGAGGTGGGAGGATCGCTTGAGGACAGGAGGTTGAGGCTGCAGTGAGCCGTGTTCATGTCACTATACTCCAGCCTACATGACACAGTGAGACTCTGTCTCAACAACAACAACAACAACCACCACAACAAAAGAAAAATGAACAGAACCTGAGGTGCCTGTGGGACACCATCATACATATCATGGGAGTTTCAGAAGTAGAGGCACAGAAAACGGCTGAAAAACAATGGGAAAAAATACATAATGGTCAAACACGTCTAAAAACTGATAAAAGATTTGAATCTACACATCCAAGAAGCTCAACAAACTCTAGGCAGGATAAAATACATTACAGTCAAATTGTAGAAACAGCCAAAGCCAAAGAGAATCTTGAAAGCTGCAAGAGAGAAGCTCCTAGTCAAGTAAAAGAGATCCTCACTAAAATTAACAGCTAATTTTTCATCAGAAACCATAAGCAGAAACCATATGGAGGCCATAGGCAGTAGGACAATCTATTTAAAGCGCTTAAAAAAAAAAATCTGTCAATTAAGATCTGGCAAAAGTATCTTTTCAAGAATGAAGGAGAAACTAAGACATTCCCAGAGAAACAAAAGCTAAGGATGTTCGCTACCTGTAGACTTGCTCTACAAGAAATGCTAAAGCGGTCCTTCAGGCTGAGATAAAAGAACGGCTAAACAGAAATTCAAAGCCACATAAAAAAGCTAAGATTGCTGGTAAAGGTTAACTACTCAGGTAAATATGTAAGTCACCACTGGTTGGGCTCAGTAGCTCATGCCTATAATCCCACCACTTTCGAAGGCCAAGGCAGGTGGATCATTTGAGTCAGAAGTTATGATCAACCTGGTCAACACGGTGAAATCCCATTTCTACTAAAAAAAAAAAGCAAAAATTAGCCAGGTGTGGTGGCATGCACCTGTAATACCAGTTACTCGGGAGGCTGAAGCAGTAGAATCACTCCAACCCAGGAGGTGGAGGTTGCAGTGAGTGGAGATCGCACCACTGCACTCCAGCCTGGGCAACAGAGTGAGAATCTGTCTCAGAAAAAAAAAAAAAGCCATCATTGCTGTACTTTCGGTTTATAATTCTTTTGTTTCTATATTATTTAAAAGGCTAACGAATGCATAAAACAATAATTATAAATCTATGTTAATATACGTATTATACAATGTATAAAAATGTAATCAGTGACAACGACAACATGAAGGTGAAGGGACAGGAGATATACTGTGCTGTGACTGTACTAAACCTAAGTTGGTATTATTCAAGGTAAGTTGTTAAAAGTTTAAAATGTTAATTGCAAACCCCAAAGTAACTACTAAGAAAATAATGAAAAACATACACAAAAAGAAGAGAATCAAAATGGTTTACTGCCAAACAAACCCAAAACCTCTAAATAATAAAAAATATGATGAGGGCAATAATGGAAGAATTGAGGAATAAAAAACGTGTAAGACATACAGAAAACAAATATCTAAATTGTAAAGTGAATCTTTCCTTGTCAGTAACCGGATTAAAAAACGACTCATCTACGTGCAGTCTACAAGAGACTCACTTTAGCTGCCCAGGTGAGCACGAGACTCACTTTGGATATAATGACACAAAGAGGTTGAAAGTAAAAGGATGAAAGAAAATATTCCATGTAATCGCAACAAAAAAAAGGTCTGAGATGGCTATATTATTAGAAATGATCGATTTTAAGTCAAAAAAGGTTACAAGAGACAATTACATGTTGAGTAAAAAGGTTCAATTCTATCAAGAAAATATAACAATTATAAACATATACACACCTAACAATATAACTCTAAAATACACGAAGTAAAAGTGGATAAAACTGAAGGAAGAAATAGACAGTTCTATAACAATAGGTGGAGACTCCAATACCCCACTTTCAAGAATACACAGAAAAAAGCAGACAGAAGATCTATAAGGAAACAGAAGACTTGAACAACATTATAAACCAGTTAAGCCTACTATAAAGACATATACAGGCATACCTCAGAGATATTGTTGGTTCAGTTCAAGAACACCGCAATAAAGCAAACAGCATAATAAAGTGAGACACACAAATTTTGGTATCCCAGTGCATATAAAACTTACGCTTACACCTTGCTGTAGTCTGTTAAGTGTGCAATAGCATTATGTCTAAAAAAAACAATGTACTCACCTTAATTTAAAAATACTTTATTGGCTGGGCGTGGTGGCTCACACCTGTAATCCCAGCACTTTGGGAGGCCAAGGCGGGCGGATCACGAGGTCAGGAGATGGAGACCATCCTGGCTAACACGGTGATACCTCGTCTCTACTAAAAGATACAAAAAAAATTAGCCAGGTGTGGTGGCAGGCGGCTGTAGTCCCAGCTACTTGGGAGGCTGAGGCAGGAGAATGGCGTGAACCCTGGAGGCAGAGGTTGCAGTGAGCCAAGATCGCACCACTGCACTCCAGCCTGGGCGACAGAGCCAGACTCTGTCTCAAAAAAAGAAAAAAAAAAAGAAATTTATTGCTAAAAAATGCTAACAATCATCTGAGCCTTCAGCCAGTTGCAATCCTTTTGCTGGTGGAGAGTCTTACCTTGAGTGGATGGCTGCTGACTGATCAGGGTGGTGACTGCTGAAGGGTAGGGTGGTTGTAGTAATTTCTTTCTTTTTTGTTTCCCAAGATAGGGTCTTGCTCTGTTGCCCAGGATGAAATGCAGTGGTGTGATCATGGCTCACTGCAGCCCTGACCTCCTAGGCTCAAGCAACTCTCCTGCCTCTGCCCCCCAAGGAGCTGGACTACAGGCGTGTGTCACCATGTTCAGCTAATTTATGTATTTTTTGTAGACAGGGTCTCACCATGTTGCCCAGGATGGTCTTGAGCTATTGGGCTCAAGCAATCCGCCTGCCTCAGCCTGCCAAAGTGCTGGAACTATAAGCATGAGCCACCGTGCCTGGCCTGCCAATTTCTTAAAATAAGACAACAGTGAAGTTTGCCACATCAATTGACTGTTTCTCAAAAGATTTCTCTGTAGCATGCAATGCTGTTTGATGACATTTTGCCCACAGAACTTCTTTCACAAAATTTGAGTCAATCTTTTTAAATCCTGCTGATGCTTTATCAATAAAGTTTATATTCCAAATCGGGATGTCCAATTTTTTTGGCTTCTCTGAGTCACAGTGGAAGAACTGGACCGCACATAAAACACACTAACACTAACCATAGCAGATGAGCTTAAAAAAAAAAAAAAAAAAAAAAAACTCGGCCAGGCATGGTGGCTCATGCCTGTAATCCCAGCATTTTGGGAGGCCAAAGTGGGTGGAGCACCTGAGGTCAGGGGTTTGAGACCAGCCTGGTCAACATGGTGAAACCCCATCTCTTCTAAAAATACAAAAATTAGCTGGGTGTGGTGGTGGACGATTGTAATCGCTTGGGAGGCTGAGATAGGAGAATTGCTTGAACCCGGGAGACGGAGGTTGCAGTGAGCCAAGATCGTGCCATTGCACTCCAGCCTGGGCGACAAGAGAGAAACTCCGTCTCAAAAAAAAAACAAAAACAAAAACAAAAAAACTCATGTTTTAGGAAAGGTTACGAATTTGCGTTGGGTCACATTCAAAGCCGTCCTGGGCCACAGGTTGGAAAAGCTTACTCTAAATCCTTTGTTGTCAATAATGTTCACACCATCTTCACCAGAAGTAGAGTGTATTTCAATAAATCACTTTCTTTGCTCATCCCTAAGGAGCAACTTCTCATCCACTCAAGTTTTATCATGCCTTTGCAATAATTCAGTCCCACCTTCAGGCTCCACTTCTAATTCTATTTCTCTTGCTATTTCTACTATACCTCCAATTAATTCCTCCACTCAAGTCTTGAGCCCCTCAAAGTCATCCACGAGGGCTGGAATCAACTTCTGTTAATGTTGATATTTTGATTTCCTCCCACCAATCACGAATGTTCTTAATGGCATCTAGAAGAGTGACTCCTTTCCAAAACATTTTCTTTTTTTTGTTTGTTTCTCTTTCTTTCTCTCTTTCTCTTTCTTTCAACAGAGTCTTGCTCTGTCGCCCAGGCTGGAGTGCAGTGGCGCAATCCCAGCTCACTGCAACCTCTGCCTCCCGCCTTCAAGCGATTCTCCTGCCTCAGTCTCCTGAGTAGCTGGGATTACAGGCATGTGACACCATGCCATTACACTAATTTTTGTATTTTTTTAGTAGAGACAGGGTTTCACCATGTTGGCTAGGCTGGTCTCAAATTCCTGACCTCAAGTGATTCACCCGCCTTGGCCTCCCAAAGTGCTGGGAGTTACAGGTGTGAGCTACCGCGCTGCCTCCAAAACATTTTCAATTTACTTTGCCCAGAGATCCATCAGAGCGTCAGAGGAATCACTATGGTGTGACTGTGGCTCACTGCAGCCTTGACTCTCTGGTTCAGGTGATCCTCCCACCTCTGCCTCCTGGGTAGGTGGGAATACAAGTGCATGACACCATGCTTTGCTAATTTTTTGCATTTTCTGTATTGACAGGGTTTTGCATGCTGCTCAGGTTGGTCTTGGACCCCGAGGCTTAAGCAATCTGCTTGCCTTGGCCTCCCAAAGTGCTAGGATTACAGGTGTAAGCTGCTGCACCTGGCTCAAAATGTATTTCTTAAATAATAAGATTTGAAAATTGAAATTACTCCTTGGTCCAGGGGCTACAGAATGGATGTTGTATTAGCAGGCATGAAAACAATACTAATGTCCTTGTACATCTTCATCAGAGCTCTTGGGTGACCAAGCGCTTCTCAATGAGCAGTAATGTTTTACAAAGAATATTTTTCTGAGCAGTAGGTCTCAACAGTGGGCTTAAAATATTCAGTAAAGCATTCTGTAAACAGGCTGTCTTCAAGCTTTCACTGTGCCATCTAGAGAGCACAAGCAGAGTATACTTAGCATAATTCTTAAGGGCCCTAGGACTTTGGGAATGGTACCTGAGCAGTGACCTCAACGTAAAGTTACCAGCTGCATTAACCCCTAACAAGAGAATTATAGCCTGTCTTTTGAAGCCAGGTATTGTCTTCTCCTCTCTAGCTCTGGAAGTTATAGATGGCATCTCCTTCCAATAGAAGGCTTTTTCATCTACATTGAAAAATCTGTTGCTTAGTGCAGCCATCTTTACCAATTATCTTAGCTAGATTTTCTAGATAGCTTGCTATAGTTTCTACATCAGCACTTGCTGCTTCACCTTGCACTTTTACTTTATGGAGACACTTCTTTCCTTAAATCTCATAAACCAACCTCTGCTAGCTTCAAACTTTTCTTCTGCAGTTTCCTCACCTCTCTCACAGCCTTCAGAGAAATGAAGAGAATTAGGTCTTGTTCTGAAGGCTGTGGCTTAAAGGAATGCTGTGGTTGGCATGATCTTCCATCCAGACCACTAAAACTTTCTCCATATCAGCATTAAGGCTGCCGCTTTCTTATCATTCACGAGTTCATTAGAGTAGCATTTTCAATTTCCTTCAAGAACTTTTCCTTTGCATTCACAGTTTGGCTATGTAGAACAAGAAGTCTAACTTTTGGCCTCTGTTTGCTTTTGACATGCCTTCCTCACTAAGCTTAGTCATTTCTAGCTTTTGATTTCAAGTAAGAAGCATATGACTCTTCCTTTCACTTAAACACCAGGTCATTGTAGGTTTATTAACTGGCCTAATTTCAAGATGGTTGTGTCTATGTTCAAGATGGTTGTGTCTCAGGTAACAGGGAGGCCTGAAGAGAAGGGGAAAGATGGGGGAATGGTGGCTCAGTGGAGTAGTCAGAGCACATATTTATTGTCTAAGTTTGTTGTCCCTTATGGGTGTAGTTCACGGTGCCTCAAAACAATTACAATAGTAACATCAAAAAATCACTGATCAAAGATTACCGTAACAGATAAAATAATAATGAAAAGGTTTGAAATATTGCAAGAACTGCCAAAATATGACACAAAAACACAAAGTAATCATGTGCAACAGGAAAAATGATGCTGATAGACTTCCTTAATGCAGGGTTGCCACAGACTATCAATTTGTAAAAAAAATGCAGTATCTGTGAAGCACAAAACAAGGTATGCCTGTATATGACGTGTCAACCACCAAGTGCACACAGGACATTCTCCAGGATAGATCATGTGTTGGACCATAAAACAAGTCTCAATACACTTAAAAAGACTGAGTCATTTTTAAAATACAAAGTATTTTTCTAACCACAATGAAATGAAAGTAGCAATCAGTAAGAGAGAAAACTGAAAAACTAATAAATATGTGGAAATTAAACAATACCCTTAAAGACCTATCACTATTAAGGGCATTGACTCTCTCAATAAAGAGATCCTAACCTGATGGCTTCACTGTTAAATTCTAACAACATTTAAAGAAGAACTGACACCAATCCTTCTCAAACTTTTCTAAAACACTGAAGAGGAGGGACCACTTCCCAATTTATTCTATTAGGTCAGGAGTACCCTCTGATATGAAAGCCAGACAAAAACACTATACAAAAACTATAGACCAATATCCCTATGGACACTGGAGTAAATATCAACAAAATACTACCAAACCAAATTAAGCAGCATATTAAAAGAATTATACACTACCAGCAAGTGGGATTTCTTCCTGGAATGCAAGGATAGTTCAACATACGAAATCAATGAATGTAACACAAATTAACAGAATAAAGGAAAAAAAAAAACCACGTAAAACACATATCATCTTAACTGATAATCGAAAAAGCATCTGACAAAATTCAGCACCCTTTTGTGACAAAAACACTCAAGAAGTTGGGCATGGTGGCTCACGCCTGTAACCCTAACATTTTGGAAGGCCGAGGTGGGCGGATTGCTTGGGCTCAGGAGTTTGAGACCAGGCTGAGCAGTATGGTAAAACCCTGTCTCTACACAACTGCCACGTGTGGTGGTTCTCATCTGTAATCCCAGTTACTTGGGAGGATCACTTGAGGTCAGAAGTTTGAGTCCAGACTGGACGACACAGCAAGACCTTGTTTCTAAAAATAAATAAATATGTATTTTGTAATTAGCCAGGCATAGTGGTGCACAGCTGTAGTCCCAGCTATTTGGGAGACTGAGGCAAGAGGATCATTTGAGCCCAAGAGTTTTAGGCTAAAGTGAGCTGTGATCATACCACTGTAGTCCAGCCTGGGTGACAGAGGGAGATTCTGTCCAAAAAGGGAAAAAAAAGAAAAGAAAAAGAACTACAAAACACTGCTGAAAGAAATTAAAGACACAAATAAACAGACATCCCATGTTGTTTATGGATTGGAAGACATAATATTGCTAAGATAACAATACTATCCAAAGCAAT